GTTTATAGATAAAGAAATGAGTTCGCATTCTTCTGTACTTACTAAGCCATCGGCAAGAGTAGCAACAGCGTCACAATCGCGAGCAAGTATAAGTTTATCTGAAGGTAAAATAAGCTTTTATACTATCATGAAAAAATCAATACTGACTATTACAAACATTAAATTGCTGATAATTAAACATGCTTTCAGGTCAATTCAAGAACTTAGTTACTACATTTGAAGATATTTAATTTGACATAAGCAGCATAAAAAAGGACATCAATTGTATAAAAAAAAAAACTGCTTAGTGACAACGTTGCAGAGGAAAAGTTACCTGAGGAAACAGAGACTCTTATACCTGCCTTGTCATTGAGGAATCTGTCAAGTTTCAATGAATTTTTGAAACAAAAATCTATTTTTGAACTTTACGTAAGCAATTATATATATGTTGATTTGTTTTCTTTTTTAAAATTGTAAAAACTTTGTTTTGTTTTTCCAAAACTGTTCGTATTTTGTTATAAAAAAAAATACTTGTTATTCATGGAATGTCTTCAAAAAAAATTATCCAAAAAATTAAGGTTATTTTATTTTTGTTAATCATTTTCGCCGCCTTGGAGGAACTTCGCGAGCGGATCACACGCGGAGGATTCTCAGACGGATTATCCATAATGAATTAGTACAAAAATTAAACTGGGCAGGAAGAGGAGCCAAAACAAGTCTTCAATCTTTTGATGCCATATGCAAACTCATCCTTAGTAAGTCTACAATTGCAAGTGATTCTTGAAAATAAATTGTAATGCAATTTTCATATTGTAAAATTGAGTTTTCTTATACTTCATAGGATCAGCAAGCACTAATCAAGAAACATCTTATAAAATAACCAAAGAAACAATTAAATCTTGGTTACGTTATGCAATGGATCGAGATGGTGGTCGAAACAAAAGGAAGGAAACTATAAATAACAACCAGACTGATGAAGCACAATCAGAAAGTTATACAAGTTAAGAATTAAATTTTTTAATGTTTTCTCTTTCTATGAAAAAATAACTTTTTTTTATTTGATTTTCGATTTGCCATAAATCATGGAAAATGATTACTTTTTACAGATATTAAATTACTTTAAATTACTTTATATTAACTTACTTTGAGAATATCAATTATGATATTTCTTACTTTGCTCTTGATAAAAATGATACATTTTGCTGCTTTCTTTCATTGTGCACAATATAGTTTGTTTACTTTGTGACATTATTATTTACTGTTAGAAACATTAATATTGCTAGTTAGTATAATATGTCAATTGCATTTGAGACTAATATTTTTTTTTTTTTTTTTTTTTTTTAAGATAATTTATAACTGCAATTTTGTAAAAGTTTCTGCTAAACTTTAGAAGTTAAATATTGTTCGTAACGTTTTGTTTAGAAAAATGAAGACTGACCTTAACATATAATATAGTATAACAATAGTTTTATATCGATATAACAAACAATATTTTATACCAAATTATATTACAACACTAATACAAATTATATTATTTTGTTCATATTTATTTTAAATTGTGTACTATTCAGTCTTAGAATTAAAATATTTAATTGTGTAACTGTTTATTTTATTGCGTGTACTATGTATTATACAATAAAGATAATTCTATATCCGAATTTTAGACATGTTAATTTTATTATAGAAATTTATTTACTTTTATACATTCGCTGCTTATAATCTTTACATTTTTGAGGTTTAATTAATATCGACAATTTCTAATTAATAAATATACGATGTTTAACTAATATTATTTTTAATAATATTTGTAAATTTAAAAAATAAAATGGACGTCAATACATGTATGATGCATTTTATACTTATAGCTGTTGTATTTACTAATTACATGTTATTTATACATTATAATCTTATTAAATTATATAAATTATATAATATAGTTATATATATATAAATATATATATATAATTACATAAATTTTAACTCATTCCTACAAGAATTTCTAGAACTGTATAAATAACATGTAATTAGTAATACAACAGATATAAGTATAAAATGTATTGACGTCCATTTTATTTTTTAGATTTATTAATATTATTAAAAATAATATTAGTTAAACATCGTATACTTATTAATGCACCGGATGCACCCAATGTTGGTCCATTATCATTTAGGAACGTTGGGCCAATATCTAGAATTTAAATAGTCGACATATGTTCAATATTGGGCCAATGTTTTTGTGCGATTTGATCATTTTTAAATCGTTGGTACAATGTTGGCTAAATGTAACATCCCACACAGCACATAATATTGTAGAAGTATTGCAGTAATATTGCAATATAGTGGAAATATTACGTATTAAAATGAAATATTTCAGAAATATTACTGATTCAGAAGTATTACACGTTTTTAAATAATATTTTAATATTACAGTAATATTGCTGCAATATATTGTTGAAATATAATACTTTAGGTAGCAAAATAATGTCAAATGACATTTTAATGACATCTTATTGACGTCATTTCAGACGTTATTAAGGTATCACACAATCATACGTATTGCACAGATAATATATACCAGTTAAAGAATTTTGGACTAAAAGAAAGAAAAATCTAAATCAAAAAATGTGATGAAATCAAAAGAGACTGACTTGTACTTTTGGGGAATAAAAGTGATTAAGATAAATTTTATAAGTGGTGGTATTTAATTTTATAACTTGTTATTTGTTTTGTAATAATAAAAGGTAATTATATATACAATTAATTTTTAATTAAGAGCCAGTAAGTAAATTGATAATAAAATAAATGGATAAAATTTATATTTCTTATATAATCAATATTAAACTTTTCAAATTACGAGTTTGTCACACGGATAAAGAGAACATTTCTGAGTGCGTAAGTGGAGGAAAGAACGCTAGTGTGTGTGGCTATGCGCTTGGTCGCAGCACCGACCCCCACCATTCCCGGTCTTCTCTCGCTGTCTCTTGCATGACTCCGTGGGACCACGCAATCACGTGTACGACACCGCACAGAAACAATCGTTTTAATTTCAGGTAATTTTTCTTTGCTTAATCTGCTTAATCTCGATTATTATTTTTATCTACGCACTGGCGGATCCAATAATTTATTCCATTGTTTTTAATTTTTCTTTATTTAATAAATATTGTTCACACAAATATTTTTAAAAGTATTTTTGTATAATTATTACTAATATGTACATTATGTACATATATATTTGGCGTTTGTCTTTAAATCCAAAAATAGAGATTACGTGGCATAATAGTCTGCAAAAACCACGTTAATATCATAACAATCATTTCAATGACCATCTTAAAATACATATATTTGCTTTTATAACGTTATTAAACGAGTCTCTAATGAAATTATTTATTAACGGCTTCATACTTAAATCTTGATGCTAACTTAACCTAAAAAATTTTAACAGTTTAATCCAACTGGAGCCCTTAGTTGGAGATACGTGATAGAAATCTGTCGATCCCAAATCTCCTAAAAAGCAGTTTAATCATTAATTAAATGATTTAACCATAATTATTTAACCATTTACATGATTTTATAATAATTATTGTTTTTATGCTATATGTTACAGTATTGCTTTCCATCAGTGGATGTTCATGCAGTCCAGAGCAGCACCAAGTAGTTTGATAGAAGAGCAAAAGATTTATTTATTAGATATGTAAGTAAAAAAAAGTTAAATTTGATATAAACCATACTTTCTAATATTAATCGTCAATACTAAAAATCCAAAGTATACGTGTAACATCAACTACAGATTTTCAGTATACATAGATAGTGAATATCACAATACAGATTCATACTTAACCTACTTTTATGTTTAAAATATATAATTAGATGTAAATAATAATTACTGTTTTTGTATTATGTTGCAGTGTTACGTTGCTTTCCATCAGTGGAAGTTCACGCAGAGCAGCACCAAGCAGTTTGATTTCTATCAAACTCTTCTGAGCGACAACTTCATTTATTAGATACATAAGTAAGAAAAATTTAAACTTGGTATAAACTGCGTTCCAATATTTTAATATCCAGTACTGAAAATCTAAAGTGTATTTATAACATTAACCATAGATTTTCAGTATAGACAGTAAATATCGGAACACGTCATACTTAACCCCGTACTCTTATGTTTTAATATGTAATTATGTATGAAATAAACAGGATGATTTTTATTTCGTGTGCCAATCATCTCCGCTATAATTATCTCAGAAAGTATTGGAAAAATGTTTCAGATAAAAGTTCAAGAGTTCAAGGAGGACCAATAGACAATTTTATTAGATTTTGAGTCCGGGACCTGTGTTAAGCCTAATAGGATCCAAGTCAAATTATTTAAATAGAAACCCCCTTTTTATGGTATCATCTTTTTCTACTAATTAATATGAACAACTTTTGTCTGAAACATTTTTATTTGCCTTATACTTTTTGAGATATTCAAGGAAAACTTGGTATTTTTTTCAATATTTAGCTTACAATAGATGTGTTACGTCCAGCGGACTCCACGATATCCCTTTTTCGCGGGAATTCTTATACACCTAAGATAGCCCTAATATTAGGATAAACAAGCCGAGTACGGACGGTTATCGATCGGGGCGAGGTTAGATCTTGCATTCCTTTTTTTTTATACAACAATAATAGCTATTTGCCTAGACGACGAAGCGACCCTCCGGAGTAAAATATTGACAGACGGGGCATTCGTAATGAGATTTTTCTATCAACCTTGTCTAGCCCATAACTATAAACCCGGCGACAAGACGCGCCAAAAGGGCCTGAATCCCAGACAGAGTTGATGAAGATCTTTATTGCATCGAGCGAGCTTTCTAAAATTGCTCGTGCGATGTTTCCGACAAACAGAGACAAGGCCTAGGACGTGATTGTAAATACACGTGGCGGAAGTTCTGTTTGCCTTGTACCTACCATTAAGATTGAGAAGTATGCATCGTCTGTCGATATAAAAACAGGGTCGCGAGATAAGTAAGGAACCCCAATAAAAGAGAAATCGGCGATAGCCGAAAAACGAATGCGTCACTGGAAAGAACCGATGGGTTACACCCCCAATAAGACATGGGGCTTTAAGAGGGGGCTCACCAATAGAAAACCGCAAAATCGATAACCGTCTCTAGCTTTCTAGGATAGGCGTAAACCCAAAATTTACCCCTTGGGCAAGAAACATCTCGCCCAATAAGAATTCCCTTAAATAATAATTAGAAACATCCCGCCAACCAAAAATCCCTTAAACGAAAACCAGACACATCCCACACAAATCCACTCCTTCCATCCTTCGAACCTTCCTATTTAAATCGCGACGTCGCAGGACCCGGCCTCAGAGAAATTTTCTCAGTTTAAGTCTGCTCGGTTATAATCTAAACCTCATTCGTTTCGAGAAACTCACGTTTAGAGTCACGTTTAGAGTCAGTGCAGCAGATCCGACGGACCATCAGTCGCCCCGACTCACTCACCGACGAGTCCAACGTCCATTACTGAGAGAAGGCGTACTGAGACTCGTTCGAACTCAAGTCATCAAGTAGTAAGTCCCGTGATTTTCTTGATCCTTCTTTTTCCGCGTTATCGCCCCTCTTCTTAAACGGTCTATCGATTGTCGGACCCCCGGAAGCTCATTATATATTTGGGGGTCGGTCAGTGTAGGCATCAAGTTCCCAGCGGTCGTTGGCGTTGTCGTGGGCCTGACTTACCTCCCGGCGTCTCGTCGCTATCGTGGACTCAGCTGGTCCATTGATCTCCCTGAGCTTATGCTCGTGGGTCGGTTAGTGTAGGCATCGAGTTCCCAGCGGTCGTTGGCGTTGTGGTAGGTCTGACTTGGCTCCCGGCGTCTCGTCCCTGTCGTGGGCCCAGCCTGTCCACTGACCTCTCTCCCCCTCCTTTAAGCTCGACGATTTTTGCTCGCTTCCGACCGGGTCCGAGAGAGATCGACTAAATAAGTAAATAATTTTAGTGGACCCGAAAGTCCAAGCCCCTCAAGGACCGAATCTCCGCACGATCAGGCGACAAAGAAATCGCCAGAACAAGCGGTCGCGACGGGAGGTCGAACTTCCCCGGGAGCAGCTCAACGCCGGTCCTCCGCGACTCGCCATTCCACCGCCCCTACCAGTTTTCACAGAAGAACCCGGTTGTTCGAACCAGAATCGTCCCGCTAACATCCTGCCCAATCGCCCAGTCGTCCTGCCCTTTCGCCCAATTGTCGAACATCGCCCTATTTGCCGCGTGGCTCCGTTTCGCGTGGTCCCTCCTCGCGTGGTCCCCGTCAACCCCGACCCAGCCCGCTTCCTAGAACCTCCCGATTCTCCCTCCTCTTCCCGAAGTCCGTCTCCAACCTCTTCGACCGCCTCGACTCTCGATCTCGAGGAAGTAGGCGATCCAGAGATCGTAATCTTAGAATAAATTTTAATTTTTTTTATTCTCATATGTTTAACTTCACAATTTACATATACTTTAATTTTAAGCCCGATTTAAATTAATTTACACACGTACATAACACTTCACTAAATTCATGTAATCTCACTACTGATTCCGATTGTAATAATAGCGGGCAAGATGTTCATTTTCAAATAAGTTTTTTTTTAAAGATCTTGCCCGATCACCCCCGCACCTATGTAACACCCGCGAGAAATACACACACACGTTACACATGCATCCGACACTCACACTTATAAATGTATTCAATTTTATTTTGCCTAATTCTCATTTATTGTTCACCTAGTTTACATTATTGTAATAAATGTTTATCTTATGTTAAATATTAATTTCAATTTGCATTCATTTATAACTTAAGACCCGCTACCATCCACCTCTCGAAATTGCACGAGGTCCGATCCTGAGTTAAAGAGATTAAATTCTCTGACTCGAAAAAGGACCGACGATCGCACCGCTCACGAAAGGCGTCCTAACGTCTTTACAGACGTTGACCCTTTCTGAGTCATAAAAGTGCGTTCGGCTCGCGCCACGCGTCTAAATACTCTAAATTCGTAAGTATTTAGCTGCGTCCTCCCTTCCCCCGACCCCTCTGGCTAGCCTTTTCCTTGCTTCCCAGATTTTCACATCCTAATCCCGGGGTTGGACGTAACAGATGTTTGTCAATAAATGTTCGTCGGAGTGAAAAGTACAGGACTTTTTGACTTGATTTGGTTTCAAGAATATACTGTTGCAATAGTATTCTAATTTCTTTAAATAATTGTGTACACATGAAAGCTTCAAGAAAATGTATACACAAATATTTAAAGATATTAGGGTATTATTGCAATAGCATATTCTTGAGACCATATCAAGTCAAAAAGTCTTGTATCATTTTCCCCTCCGACAAGCATTTATCAAGATATAAACTAAATATTAAAAAAATTACCAAATTTTTCTTGAATATCTCAAAAAGTATAAGGCAAATAAAAGGTTCCCCGTAGCCCTCGGCGGGAGAACAGGTGGATTATAGTAAGGAAGTTAAGAGTGTCTGGAAGAGTGTAACAGGGAGGAGGAAGATGGAGGAGGAGTAACGGAGGGTGTGAGGAAGGCAAAGAGGAGGTGCAGGAAAAGGAGGCGAGAAAAAAGGCGGAGCAGGGTAAGAGAAAACAGTCGGAGAAAAAGAGCCCGTAGAAAGAGGTTAGGACTGACTGGAGGAGATGGTAATGGCAAGAAGATGGCACAGGAGGCGAGAAGTAAGTAAGGCGGATGCACAACGCGCGCTTCGCAAACAGTCCAGTATCACCGCAACGTGTGCGACGGACGGACGGCAAAGCAAGAGATAGAAGGCGGCAGAACAGACTGATGTCGCCGCAACGCGTGCAACGGACAGGTGGCAAGAACGGGAGTTCGATAGAAGGGATAGAATGTAAGAAGGGGAACAGGTAAGAGACGCACATGGCGACTGTAAAAGCGAGCTGCGTAACGAAAAGCACGACGATAGAAAGAAGGCTATAATATAGAGAAAAGTGATTGCGAATAGTGTCAGAGGTAAGGATTGGCTATAAGGGTGAAGAGTATGGTGAAATAGAGGAGGAGAAGAATGCAGGAGAGTACATAGGCGATAAGCAGAGGAGTTAATCATAAGATATTTGATAATTTATTTCAGACACCGCAGAAGGAAAGAAAGATGGAAGGAAGTACGAAGATTAAAGGAACGGTGGAGTTAGATGTGGAGGCGATTGAGACAGTAATGGAAGGAAGAACATCGAGGACGATGAAGAACATTAAGCAGGAAATGAAAGAGCTGAGAGAAGAAGTGGAGATCTTGAAAAGGAAAGTATATAAAATGGAGCAAGTTTCGGGTAAAAGAAAGAGGGACGAAAGTGAGGAAAGAGAGGAAAAGTAAGCAGGAAAAAATGGTGGTACGAAGAGAAGGAAGAAGAAGAGGAGGAGAAGAGAAGGAAGAACGTGATAATCAGAGTTGAGAAGAATAGATGGGGAGGAATCGACGCAAACTGGAAGAAGGTGAAACAACTATTCACAGAAGGACTGAGAGTGAAGGTGAAGGTGAAGGAGGTGATTATGATAGGACAGCAAGGGGACTGGCTGACTTTTATGGTAAAGCTGAGAAGAGAGGGGGATAAGTAGAGAATATTGGAAGCAAGAAAAAAGGAAGGAAGTAAGATGAAAGTAAAAATAGACGAAGACAGGTCGGTGGAGGAAAGAATCAAAGCAGGAAAGGAAAGGGAAATGAGAAGGGAAAGGAAAGAGGAGGAAAACGAGAAAAAAGAGAAGTTGACAGAAGAGGATATTGTGAAAAAAATGGAGGATAAACTGCTGATGGGATCGGACGACGACGAGGGGGGGCGGACCGGGGGAAGGGACTGGGGAGGATGCACTGAAAGGGGTAGGGAGGCAAATAGTGTGAGGTTATATGTTATCTTGATGTATGTACAGGGTTGGGTACGTCCCTACAAAACGCCAAGTTTGTAAAGGTTTGGGAACGTTTCTTAAAAACGCCCTTTAAGGCCCCTTTGGGGTAAATAAAG